ACACACACACACACACACACACCTTTAAAAGGGATTCATTTCCTAGAAAAATCTTGCATAGCAAATGAAACAGTCTAATAAAAAAAAAGGATCCAAATTTAAGCATTCTAGGTATTTTAGAAGTGGTAATAGTAGAGAAAAGGAATATTTGTGGAAAATATTTCATGGAAAATAGAAGTCATTAGGTAGAATTTTTTTTTTTTAAACTTAAAACAAAGGAACACTTCCAAGCTTATTTAGTAAGTTTGCTTTCAATATTCTCTTATAATTGTAACAGTAAATATAAGCAAAATTATCATGCAGCTTTGGTTTATGGTTCATATTTATCATATATTCTATATAAACAAACTATGCTAAAGAAGGAGTGGTTGATTATCATTAAAATGATCACTCTTGTAAGAAGATGCTTGAGCCAGGTATGGCGGCACACACCTATAATCCTAGAGACTTGGGAGGCTGAGGCAGGAGGATCATAAGTTCGAGGCCATCCTCAGCAACTAAATGAGGTCCTAAGCAACTTAGTGAGACCATATCTCAAAATTAAAAATAATAAAAGGCTTGGGATGTAGCTCAGTGGTAAAGCACCTCTGGGTTCAATCCCCAGCACCAAAAAACAAAAAACAAACAAAAAAAAAATGGGGCTTGACATTGACATCCAATCCATTTTAGGGAACCCCTGAGTCCTGGAGACCAATGAAAGGAATAATGGGGATTCATGAATAACTTTACAAATCTATTGAGACAAAATTGAAATTTAACTTTATGATTGCACAGGATCTGTTAAGTGTTTATGTTAGACTGAAATTATATCATGCTGATTTTATATTATGTCTTGCTGAGTTTTGTGTCTTCTTTATCATACTTATGAGACATTCTTAAAACAACAAAGACATATTAGCAATTATTTTCTAAATATAGTTTGGTAGTTATTATCATTTAAAGCATGGAGTCCACAGGGGAAAAGAGGAAATGTTTTGTGGTGACAATAAGCCAGGTATTTCAGAAAGATAAGCATGAGCGTTTCCTCATTATGAAAGTAGTACATATTTGGAATTCTTTTCTTTGACTTAATTTAGCCTATTAATGTAATCATTAGAGTGTCAAACAGTAAGAGGGAGATACTCTGAATGGCACATTTTCTATTTTTTATATTTCTCCTTTTTCTCTTTCTGTCTCTTTCACTCTATGCCTTTCCCCTCCTCCATCTCCTCCTCCTCCCTGTCTCTCTCCCTCTTTCTTTCACTTCCCATCCTCCTTCTCCCATGCCCTCTTGTATCTTCTCTTGGTTATGGCTTTGTAAGTCAGTCGTTTATTCTTGGAACTTTCTTGCCTTGGCTTCCATAAAATTATGCTGTGTGTTCCAAAAGTTTGCATTCCCAAGATTTAGTATGTAGCCCTAACCAATCTCAGGGAATTCATCTATTCTTACTAATTAGCTCAGTAATGTTGATGATTTCCAAGTTAATATTCTCAGTTTGGGTCTCATCCTTAAGCAAATCATTTTCCATTTCCTTTGGAAATCTTATAGTGAAGTGCATCTCTATAGCAGCATCAGTTACCATGAGAAGCAGTATGTGTTCTCTGGGTATAGAGTGATGTAAATTGCAGACCTCCTCATACCAGGAGAAAGATCATCACCACTGGTACACCCACTCTGACACACATGTACATCTTGTGAATGTAAGTTGAATTTTTTTTTGTTTGTTATTGAGATCAAATTCTAGATATGCATGAAGAAATCTTCTTTAGTCTTATCAAAGATGCAAGGAACTGAGCTGAAAAGCTCTCAGAATTCTGGAGGAAAGCACCAACGATTATTAAGTACCATTAACCTGGTCCATTCCTCACGTCTCCATGCAGATGAATATGGTTATGTCCCTCCTGGGGATGTTCTGTCCAACACTGTTTGACTTATTTGCTGAATTGGAAGACTACCATCCTCTCATCGCTCTGAAATGGCTCCTGGGACGCATTTTTGCTCTCCTTTTAGGCAACCTGTATGTATTTATTCTTGCCTTAATGGATGAGATTAACAACAAGGTAAGCCTTGTGTTTAGATTGTCCTTTACACCAGCATTTTGATTTCCCAGCCTCAGGAATGCCTGACATGCCTTTGGAAATGGTGCTTATCTTTTGTTGTTGTTGTTTCCATCTCTTTGCTCTCTAGATTGAAGAGGAGAAGCTTGTGAAGGCCAACATCACCCTGTGGGAAGCCAACATGATCAAGGCCTACAACGCATCCCTCTCTGAAAATACCACCGGGCCACCATTTTTTGTTCATCCTGCAGATGTACCTCGAGGACCGTGCTGGGAAACCATGGTGGGACAGGTAATCCCACGAACAGAAGTACGTGCAATCAGTCAATTGAAAAAAGAGGACAGTCAATATTTCTTCCATAAGTTTAGTCTATTTTTCATTGCTTATTAATAAAAATTGCTGATCACTTGAACTTTTTTCATGTGCTGGCTCTGAACTTCATGTATATTATCCCATGTAGCCCTCACATCTATCCCTTGAGATAAGTTCTTGTTTGCCCCTTTTACAGTTGCATAGAAAGGAAGGAGAGTTTAAAATGATATACGAAGTTTACTATTTACTGACATTCTAATAAAGCACTAAGTTTTAGATACCGGCTCAAATCAGTATTTAAATGAAGTTCTATTTAGTATTACTTGTTTGCCATATAAATAAAAAAAGCAAAAGTAGGTTCTTTGGGGATCATATATAAATTTTAGTAACTTCAATTTTTATTAAATACCTTTTCCATAAGCCTTAAAGGAAACACTATTTGTTTTCATGATGATTACATAAATGACCCCAGTCCAAGGTCAGTGTCATTTATCAGAGAAAAGAACTTATGTTTCACATGATTTCTGTGCAATAAGGAAAACCAAACCAAATCAGACCAAACAAAATCTTTTACAAACTTTTCATTTAAGAATATCTACTTTAGAGGCTCTTATTTCTGTACAGATCTAATCTATATTTTAAAAACCTATAATTTTATCTTCTTATAATTGACATCCTTAATGTGAATTTCATAAACTAATTGGGGACTTCAGTTTATCACTGAGAAGAGAAAAACTTAAATATATTACTGTATGTCCTTCAGATGATAGTTCAAGGTCAGTAGTAATGTATTTTTTTGTGAAATTATTTGAATAATTTTCATAGTGTACTTACTTTTTATAAGATAATTGGGAAATTAGTATTTATCTTATTAAACTAAAATAATTTAAACAAATAGATATCTTCAGCCTCAACATGATGCTCATTGGACTTAAGCTAATCAACTATGATTTCAATTGTGGAAAAAAAATAAAATCAATGTGTATAATTCTAGAAATATGATTAAAAATTGAGTACACATTATGGTTTGAGGAAAGATTTTTATTTTACTTTACTTTTGAAGGTTTCAGGGATGAGATAAATTCCTGGCTTCTTAGTTATATGTTATTAGATTTTTGGTGTTCAGCCATGAACATTTCACACATGTTTAAAAAACATATTATATATGAAATGATAAATAAAATAACATTGAACAAAAGTTGGCAGCATTTAGAAGAGAGATACTTGTAATCCAGTGAGTGGTAGACAGAATAAATAACCTCCAAAGTTGTCCCTATCCTAGGTCCCTGCAACCTGTGAATGTGTTGTTACCTTATGTGGCAAGATGGACTTCACAGATGTGATTACATTAAGGATATTGGGTTGGAAGAAATATTCTGAATGATGAGTGAACCTAGTAAAAATCATTAGAGTCTTTAAAATTCAAAGACAAAAAAGTCAAAGTCAGAAAATTGAGATATGGCAATAGAGGTTGAGTAATGTGCTTTACAGGTAGAGAAAGGAACCATGGGCCAAGGAATGGGGACAGTCTCTAGGAGTTAGAAAGGACAAGGAAGCAGATTCTTCCCCATATCTGCACTTTTAGATTTCTGACTTCTAGAACTGTGTGAAAATAAATCTGTACCATTTCAAGTCACGAAGTTTGTGGCAATTTGTTATAGCAGTCATTGGAAATGAATGCTCATGGGTACATGTGCTTTCATATTTCAAGGCTTTGTGTCATGAAATATGGTCATGATGCCTAACACAAGTCTGTTTTATTACATCTAAGCTGACCTCTGAATCTTCAGTACAAGTTTCAAGAAATGAAAAAACTAAGAAGTACAGATTTCACTAACTCAGATTTTGAGATGTTCCCTTCTATACATCCTAGAATGCAGGCTGGCACAAGAGCTAAGAAACCTACCCTCCAACCAGGCAAGCACCTAGTGAACAAGATTTATAAAATTAACTATAAAGAATAAGATCTGGAATGGCCACTTCTGGAGAAAGAAAATGGATATTGCTTTAGGAGATGTTTATGTTTCTGATGAAGAAATTTCTGTAATAGTCCCACACATAATGACTTAAAATAAAGGCAAAGCCATCGATTCAGTTCTTCTTCTTGGAGGCCCCTGGACCATGGTGCTTGTCTTGTCCTATAAAAGTCTTGTGTCTAGTGATTTTTCTTGCTTTTTCATCTTTCCTTACTGCCATTTGTATAGTTGGATTTCCTCTTTCTCTTTTGCCCTCCATTCTCCAAAGGAGCATTAAGCACATGAAGGAAAGTCTGCAGAGCCAGCAGGGCCAGCTCTGAACAGAAATGCTGATGTGGTAGGTGGAATCCACAGGAATGAAGGGAACACACTGGTCATAACGACTGAGGGCTGGTGTGTTTGGCCTTTATGAGATCAATGTCTATCTGTACTGTCGTATCTGGAGACATTGCTATTGCTTAGTCAACTGAATAATGAAAAACATGGAAAAGGGGGTACATAATGGCAAGGATGTACCCCACAGGGTCATCGATAGTTCTGTGAGGAGATTCCGCAAGTTCCTTTTCTCCTTCATGAATGCACTCTGCTTTGTTTCTCCTGAAGGATGCTGTGGGATTCAAAGATCTCTTAGTTCTAAATACAGGTAATTTGTCTGCAGTGATTCCCAAGTTGTCATTTAGTCTCATCTCCAATGGCACTCGATAGAGAGACAGCGGAGCTTTTTGGGGGGACATGTGTTGGAAAACGTTTACTGAAGTCTGCATTTTGGAGAAGGAAAGAAGTCAAGAGCTGGAAGTAATGATGACAATGGCTAACATTTATTGGATACATCTAATGTGACAAGTATTACCTCCTTGAATTTTTAAATTAACCTATGATGCATGTCGTATTATCATTCTCATTTTGTAGGTGAGGAGACTGTGACTGAGAAAGGTAATTTGTCAAAACCTCGCAGGAAGTCAATGCCAGGAAGCCAAATTTAACCTACATAGTCAGGGTCCTTGTTCACAGTGTGGACTCATTCTCCAGAAACAATCAGTATCAGGACAGATGTTCCCTGCTTGGAACCTCTGTGATTTGTGGCCCTCTGTGATATCCTTGCCTATTATTTTGGCTTTTCCTATTAATGATTCCCTTAGATTAATTGGTCAAAGGTGCCTGAACAACTCAATGTCACAGGTGTGAAGTTGTTCTGTGGGAAGCGTGGTGCTCAATACCAGGCCAGGTGTCCCATTGGATCAGCATGCTAGGAAATGGAATTGAATGGTGTCATTGAGGTGGACTGGACCACCAATTTTGGAATTAATCTTTTCTCTGGAGCAGTTTTTTCCTCCTATGGTTTGTGAATTAGATACTTAAAATTTATGATATAAGGTATGAATCCTCCTCCGGCATTTTTTGTAAAAGTTGCATCATTTCCTGGGAAAGAGTAGAATTTCAGCCCCTGGGATGAGGATGCTTAGGAGGATGTGGAGGACTTCTTGACCACTCTGAAATGTTCTTACCTGAACAAGTCTTCATGACCTGGCAGTGCAAACTGAAAGCATCTCTCATAGCCTAGTTTTCATTGATGCTAGTTATTAGGATCTGAACTCAAAGTTGCCTGAGGAATGAAAGGAGAATAATCACAGAGAAAAGGGAAAAATTTCCCAAAATAATTTTAGGAATTTTCTATAACTCACTCTTCATTTATTCATTCATCCCATGTTTGTTGAATAGGCACTAAATACCAGGCATTATGCTAGATACTGGAGATATAAAGGAAAACAAAATATGGACCAGTTCTCTGCCTTTATGAAAATTATAAGCTATTGGGAGTAAAGAGGCTCAAGGCCATAACTTAAATAATTACACAAAAACTGCAAATAGATAATAACAAGAAAGCACTACAGGGGTAAAATGCATGAAATCTGAGAACTTTTTGAGAGAGCTGCCCTAATGTGTAGCTATTGACATAAACTGAGCCAAGAGGTATCTTAAAGGTGATGACTAGAGTGAAGGTCATATGCAAAGGCCCCGTGGCCTGAAAAAGTGTGGAGATGGAGGGTCCGAAAGAAGGCAGTGAGACAGGAGTGGAGATGACAAAGGGAAGAACAACACAAGAAAAATACGGAGAGCTAGATGGGTGGGTTCCCAACATGACAAAAACTTGCCTAGTAGGGATAGCTTTTAGCACATCCATGGGGAAATACTTTCTCTCTTTTCTTGTATCATCCTTACCTGTTAAAGATCATTTTCTCAAACAGACTCTGTTTACATACCCCATCACAGGTGTTATTTTTGGTGAGAATTAATGCTAACAAATGTTCAAATTTATATTGTTTTCACTAATTTTTGTTTTTATTACATTTATATTATAGTAGCTTCTATTTATGGTAGTCAATATATACCTTGTATTTGTAACAGTAGTAGTCATCTTTGAAAAATGAAGTATTACTAAAGCTAAACAAGCTAGTAGATAATAATATTTCACATGGTACTCGGACAATGCAGGGCTATGAAGCTATGCATGACGGCCTGCAGCTTAGGAAGCACAGCTCTGGAGAATGAGGCTGGAAATTCGCCTAATGGCTACTGGTTAAATGCTCCTTTGCTCTGTGAGATAGCTCACTGGTTATTTTAGAAGGGAGACTACCAGGTAGCTGGAAATAAAAATTAAAAAGTTCTCACAGTAGATTAGAATCCTTACAAAAATATGATACTCAGTGTTTTCAGTGTTAGGTCACAAATTATTGGAAAGAAACAGAAAGGGAACAGCAGAAATAAACTATGGTGATGAATATTTACAATTGTGTATCTATTATTACATTTATTGCTTATTGTCATGTGATTTTGTATGAGGAAATAGTGACCTTCCTCTCTTAACTGACAGCACATATACTTTGCACATGAATTCAAACCCATGCTACTGAAGTGACCAGTCTTGAATTTTCCAGATTTTTCTTTTTGGGGGAAGATACCAGGAATTGAACTCAGGGGCACTCGACCACTGAGCCACATCCCCAGCCCTATTTTTGTATTTTACTTAGAGACAGGGTCTCACTGAGTTGTTTAGTGCCTTGCTTTTTGCTGGGGCTGGACTTGAACTCGTGATTCTCCTGCGATTGGGATTACAGGCATGCGCCACTGTGCCTGGCCCCAGATTTTTTAATAATATTATATACCTTTATAGATGCATCCATAACACGCAGAGGATGTTTTTAATCAACACATGAGTTTGTACCACATACCTGGTTTGGTACTTTTTTTTTTTTCAGTGTTAGGGAAGGAGCTCAGGATCTTGTGCATACAGAGCAAGTGCTCTACCATGGAGCTACATCTCCAGCCGTGGTATTATAAATTTTGAAAACCCTTTTCTTATGAGAGAATTTTGATACTTTTTAAAGCACTTTGTTAAGATAAAATTCACACCCTACAATTTTGCCCATTTGAAATATTTTCAAGGCCAGATGTCTTAAATCTCTCTGTGGTCTATATTCTCCTGTTTTTGTTTTTGTTTTTTTATTCTTGTGTCACACTTATGAAAATATCTTAGTAAAAGACTTTTGACATATTGATTTGGGGATGAGGAATAATTATTTTTAGACTATCAAAATAAAGATGAAACACTTTTAATTTACTAGATATACCTAGAAGTTATTTTTTCTTTTACCATTAATTGCAGTCTGCAAACCAATAATGTTCTAGAAACATGACAATTTGATGCCAACACGAAGATCATCTGAAATTGAAATGAGTATTTTAATACAAATAATGTCCCAACAGGAATTCGTGCGACTGACCGTTTCTGATGTTCTGACGACTTATGTCACAATTCTCATCGGTGACTTTCTCAGGGCATGTTTTGTAAGGTTTTGCAATTACTGCTGGTGCTGGGATTTGGAATATGGATATGTAAGTAAGATACTAATTTTTTTCAGATTTTTCTTTTCTACACTTTTTTCTTTCATACACTTCACAGTTTGATAGGTGAGATCACCTTTTTAGATATCAATAAATAAAGGCTGGTGAACACTGTCCTAACTCAGAAGAGATCAGACTCAGTAACGTGGTTTCTAATATTGAAATGAAGTCAGCACAAGATAGCTAACGTAATGGACCATGACGTGGCAGTCAAAATGTTGAACTCAGGAAATCTAGGCCCATAGTCATCCCTGTCTCCTTGAACAAAGCTGGTGTGTTTCCTGAAGCAGGGCATGATGGCTATCAGCTTCACATTCTATCTATTTTTTTACATTCTACTGTACTACTGGATCATTATTAGGTGCCAGTTACTATGCCGTAAACTGGGGGCTAAAAGAACTCAGTACATTTGGTGTTTGCTTCATAAAGCTCATGATCTAGTAATAGTTTGACAGAGTCACCAACAGGGGACTGTGGCAGTTTTAAGAAGACTGGATTCATCCAGCACAGGGTGCTGGTAGGTGGAGCTGGAATCCTGCAGGGGCAGCTTCTATTCCTGAAACAATGGTATGGGTTTATCTGAGCTCACTAGTGCTGACTCAATTACCAACTTTCTCTATGCTCAACACTAAGTCCCCCACAAGTTTAAGGGAAGCAGCATAGCATAGTAGTTCTGTAGCCTAACACAGCACCAGGTTTCCACTGTCCCTCTTGCCAATGAAACTGTCTTCATTAATGCTGGGAAATATGACCTGGGGAATTGGTAGTACCCATGCGCTTAAAATCCTCCAGTTGTTTTGTAAGCACTTTGAATGAATTCCAAATCCCTCTCTAGGGCCTTCAGTATCCTATATGACCTGCTGCTTTTCTTTCTGAGCTCATTTGCTACCACTTTTGCTCTTGCTTTGTAAAGTCCACAGGCCTCAGCTGCCTTTTTTGTGCTCAAACACAAGACGGTCCTTGCATTTGTTCTTGCTGTTTCTCTCTCAAGGCTTACTGTTACTTTATAGCTTCACACAGTTGGTTTCTTTTTATTACCAAGGACTCAGCTAATAGTTCACCTCCTCAGAGCTCTTCTTTGACCATCCACTCTAACGTGGCCCATTAGGCAATCTGTATTACAATGTGCTCTTTCATTTATTCATAAATTGTACAACTATTTGGCATTCCCTTTTTAAAAATGTGCTTATTATCTGTCTTCCTCTTTTTGAAAGAAAACTATCAGACACAACCCTTGACCTCTGTTATTTGAACCATGCTAATCCTGCAGTAGGCATCTTGTGTGACTGACTGGTTGACTGTTGAACTTCTACCTCCAGGGCATCCCTAGCTGTTGACAGACTGTGCCTCCTCCCAGGGATGTGCTCATGGAGTCAATTCTGGATTAGGGTTCTGGAGCCAGAGATGCTTCTGTGCTCACCAGTGAATGAGTTCTTTATAGCTGATCTGCCTTCTATTTCATACCCTCCAATCTCTGGACTAGCCTATATTGAAGGCTGTTTTCAAAGACTCCAGGCTAGATCCTCTGGCTATCTGACTTTGAGACACTGCCTTTCATTAGGTCATTGCTATCACATCCATTGCAAGTGGAAGTACCTCCTCAGATGGTCTAAAAGTAGTTAGGTAATGCTCTTCGGTGAGCAATAGTGAGGTAATGCTATGGATCCAGGATGCTGGTGTGTTGCTTTTCCAGCCCTTGCTATGAGGTATTTAGCTGGCATTGGTTCATTTCTATTTTCCTTTCCTGATTCAGCTCTTCTGAGGCAGACATAAAATTTGCTATTTCTTTTCCTAGACCATTGCCTGGCTTTTATTTGCCTTTTATCCCTTGCTGTTTTCTTCTTAAGTGGCAGAAAATTTGACTGCAAATATGAAGTCAATATAACATGACCTGGATGCATAAAAGCTGTAATTAAATGACTATAATTTATTATTTATTAAGCGCTGACAGTGCTCTTGGGTTAGTACAAAGTACAGGAAACAAGTTTCTGTTTTAGGTCACAGAGAAAGAATTTTCTCTCATGTTACCTTTGGAAGGCTCTTTGGAGAAAAGCTCAAAATCAAAACAAGTTTTAAAATATTAAAGATACATTGGATGATGTATCTTTGACATGGATCCTATCGTCATTGACCCCACAAGAGGAGAGCTCACTCTGTTTACTGCCTACCAGGAGCAAACTTATGGGCAACTTCTGTGCTAGGTGATGAGAGAACATGGAGGTGTAGAGATGTAGCCTACAGAGATGTTGTGAACTTGGGACTGCAGGCTAGATTCAAATAGCAGATATTGGTTTTTGTTTGATCTGCTCAGTGTTCCTGTTGTTTTTGCCTTTTTACATGCTAATACTTAAAGACTTTGTACTTCTTGCTTTTTTTTTTTTTTTTTGACATTTTGGAAGACCTGGCAATATTCAATCCATATTCTCCATAGGGAGAAATGGCAGGGTTGAGAGTTTGCTGTCCACAGAGGGTAGATATTCATTCTCTTGTCCATTGCTCTTTCACATTGCAAGCTTTCAATATCAATAAAGGGCATAAAAAGGTAAATACTACGCCATGGGATTTTGGAGACAGTGGGGAGACAGAAAGAGATAGGGGCCAGCAGGGGGAAGGAGATGGGGGAAAGAGGAGGTGTGCTTCAGTAGAAATACAAAGACATTATAGGGGAGGCATTCAAATGGCGTCTCAAAGTATGCTTAGAATTTCAAGAGATGGAGGAAAAGCAGTCCTAGCAGAGAGACAAGTGTAAGGCCCCAGAGTTGGAAAGTGTGAGCAGTGCAGATGTGTGAGCTAGGGCTGTTTTGGAGAAGAGGTTGATGAGAATGTTTCTCTGCTGTTCTCCTAGGTCTACTAGTTGACGGTATGGTTCATAAAGTACCTGTCATGAAGGGAAGGAGAATCTGAGATGGGCAGAGGAGATACTCAAGAATCCTTTCAGAAATAAAGAGAAAAATATAGCCATTTCAGTCACAACCTATATATATATATATATATATATATATATATATATATATATATATATAGTTGTTGTTGTTGTTGTTG